AATCTTTGCTATGCATTTTGCAGGATTTCATCCAGGCTCGTCACTACATGGCGACTATTGATTCTCATTTCGAGTATTCAGCGTATTTGAAAGTAAATGTTTACCACTGTTTAAGTGTAGTGTTCAAGCGACCGTTTCATACGGTTAAGTAGAGGTATATCGCATCTTTGAAATTAAAAGGAAACAAATTGAATGGCAAGAATGGGAAATGCGATGAAATAATAGAATCACTTGTGTACAATAGTTGTTAATTAAAACGTCCTCTTAGAAATGATGGTAATAAAAACGAAAGCGTTTCTGACAATACAATAAAGCAGAATTCACGAACCGAAACGGTTTTTACAACCAGAATGATGAAGCCAACACAAGTGAACATGACCATTGTAACGAACAAACGATGGATCATATCGTGTCTCGGTTCACGCATTGCCGCGAACACCCGACCCATTAATATGTTGTACGCCGGTAATTCGAGACCATGCAGGATTGCCAGAAATATTCCGAGTGCCTGCAAGAAGCAAATTTCGTTCGAAACTCAGGTGGAAAATAATTTGATGGAGAAAGAAGTGCTTTTAGTCGGACTGTTATCAGAACTTTTATCCGACTCCAGATCTTCGTGAGATCAAAAAGGAATAAGGGGCGGCGATAGCGTAGCGGTTGTGGCACTGACTATTATGACTAAATACCCAAGATCGATGCCACCTAGGACAACCACACTACCGAGCCCTGAATAAATCATGAATTGGTAATCGCGTTGCCGGGAGCATCCGGTCACCATCTATCTAAGAGATTAGGCTGTATAACTCGTGGATTGGCCATGAGCTGAAAGAATCCACCCACAAACTGAATGTACGCAGACTATGCATCTGTTCAAAGGGGATGATAACCAGCATAGCTCAGCGATTACAAATAACCTTCTACAACTAGTGCTCAGAGTAAGAAGAACCATGAGGTCTAGCCACATAATTCTGCACAAAACGGATTGATGATTCACAGAGCGCGAAGTAATTCTAGCGTGTATCATATCCTAATGGCAATGTTGCGGGAGGTTTCATCTCAGTGACCGTCGCCATTGGTCACCTAGCACATTCAACATTTTCGCGATTATTTCCACCATGCATATTCTCAGATAGAGTGGTTGGACAACGTGAATCTTCTTCGTGAGTCTAGCAAAGTCTAGCAATAATTTGGAATGGTGGGCTGTAAGCAAAGTCGAATGCTGATAATCACGATAAAAATAACGATGAAACACAGTAGCAGAAAACGGAATCAAAAGAATAAATTGAGGAAAACGCAGGTGAAATCAATCGACTGAAGTGATCTCTTAAGTTCATTATTCGGAAGATGAAGTTAAACTTACAAGCAACAATCTGTCATGACGGTTGTTTTTCAGAACTTTATTCGTACCACTCATAAAAAATCTGACATTCCGATGCTGATCACTACAATCGCTTTGAGCGGTTGACGAATTCTCTACAATGCTGGCGGCTTTGCTCGATGACAGAACACTATTCTCGTTTGCATTTCTCGCCGTTCGGTCAGTTTTAAATGATTCAGAACGTTTCTGCAATGCTTACTAAATAATAAGAAACTTTTCTGTTCAAACAGACACAGTCACTTCATAAAGAAGCTTTTTTCACTCCAAAAGATTCCAATTTAAGCAAATTTCAGAGGAAACATGCGAACTAAAGAATGAAGGTAATCTGTAAAATCAGTCGGTCAGCCGCCGTCTTTAATTCACTCTCAGTTCAATTGCTGNTGTTTTTCGGAGCCTGAATTGGATCTCAAACTCTGCAGTAGAATAGTTGATCATTTTATACCTTATCCAGCTCTGAGTCATTCACATTCATAATGAACATTGAGGCAAATAATCCATCGTCAAATGCGCTCCATTGTGAAATTATCGCACCAGCCGTGTTAGCGACCAGAGTCATTGAGAGTACGGCAATGAATATATTTCCATGTTTCCTTATAATATCCATCTCCAACAAATACCCTCCATATCTGAACTGCCTTTGTTACTGCATTAATTTGGTACGCATCATCGGTACACATTAAGCACATAAATTCATTTACACACATATTCTATGCGATCGAACAATATGTGCCTCGTCAAAAAATGTTGATTCCATAAATTTATTTGGTTGACGTTGCATTGTAGATCCTTACGCTTCCCTTCGGCACGGCAACATGTTCCTCATATGCCCATAACGATGCTACTTCTCATCTCTTCTCTTTATACCTTTTTCGAATTTATCATCTATGACATTACGTTGTTTATCTAACGATCTAATCAGAATTTGAATCAAGAGGCAAATGATAAAACCCACAGCATGCCACAGCCAACAGCCGTGAAAATAACGAACGTTATAACACCACTATAAAAACCACTCCATGCTTCCTTCATGATACCATAACGGATGGCACTCGACAGCTGATCTGATAACCTCAGTAAATGCTCATCCGTCGATGCTTGTG